ATTATAGAAGAAAGAAGATCATTATAGAAGATCATCGAAGAAGAAAGAAGTTCATCGATGAAGAAAGAAGGTCGTCGGTTAACCAATTTCATCCCCGTTTCTTACTATGTCTACGTCTACATTTACGTCTGTTGTCTGTTTCCAGACAATTTCTTGTTTCTTAACCGCGTTTACGCGGCCAGGTGATTGCTCTCTAACGGTGCCAAACTGTGATCATCTGGTAACGCCCTTGCGGCGGGAACGGCAACCAATACGTGCGTCTTTTTGAAGACGATCGGAAGCCGCAACGTGGGACATCATGCGTAAGACAAGAGGCCAGAAGACACGGAACGACGACGAAACGCCGGTAGGAATGCGGATATTCGAAGAAGCGCCCGCGTCCCCGTCCGATTATCTTTCGTTGGCAGAAGCGCCCTCCGACGCGCCCCAGCCCCCGCTCGCGCCCGCATCTATGCCCGCGCCCGCATCCGCGCCGCCACGCCCCGCTATGTCCGAGTCTACGACTGATGGCTTGGGAGAGGTTAGCACATCCGCGCCACGTATATATACACTCGCCGCGATTATAGAAGATCTTCCGGTAACAGAAACTAGTTCAACAGTGCGTTCCGTCACGCCTGTAGTAGACGTTGTACATAGGCCCACGCCCCGCGCCCTGTCGGTCCGTTCAGTCCGTTCAGCCCGATCGACAGCGCGATAACAAAATTAAAATAAATCGAGTATAATACCGCGGAGGTACTAGCTGCAATTAGATGGAAGCAATTGCAAATTGAAAAATTCTCGTCAGACATTCCTCAAAACCTTAAAACGAAATTATATAACCAGTGCGTGTTGCCAGTGATGACTTACGGATCCGAGACGTGGTCCTTCACTGCTGGGCGTATGAGGAAGCTCAAGGTCGCTAAGCGAGCTATGGATAGGGCTATGCTCGGAGTTTCTCTGCGTGATAAACTTAGAAATGAGGATATCCGCAGTAGAACTAGAGTGACCGACATAGCCCAACGGATTAGTAAGCTGAAGTGGCAGTAGGCCGGCCATATAGCTCGAAGAACCGACAACCGATGGGGAAGAAAAGTTCTTGAGTGGCAGCCTCGTACCGGTAGGCGAAGAGTAGGGCGACCCCGCACGAGATGGAGTGACGACCTGGTAAGACATGCAGGAAGTCGATGGATGCAGGTGGCTCAGGACCGCGCTTTGTGGCATTCCTTGGGGGAGGCCTATGTTCAGCAGTGGACATATGAAAGGCTGTAATGATGATGATGATGAATTGCAAATTGACGAAGATCTTATCAAGAAGAAATACGATAGGGACGTCGCTCAACTGCAAGAAGAAACGGAATAGGGTACGTGTTGATAGGTGATTAGAGAACGTGGAGACTGTGCGGGATGAGCCGCCCTACTGCCCGTCTCAGCCCGCTACATCGAGATAGAGCAGGCCCCGTCTAATAGGGGAACCAGTAACGTGTACGCTGAAGATGCCCAGGGGAGGTCGGTTGCGAATAACGATCAACCACGTCATGTAGATACGATACAGAGGGACAATGGAGTCGCCGTCGAAATGAACCAGGTGGATCGCCGTGTACGGGTTACGTCGCCGTCGCGCGTCCAACGCCGCACTCTATCGCTTATACGTAGAACGCCATCGCTACATTGCCAGGCGGATCGTAGATTACCGTCGCCATGTCATGATGTAGGTATAGTTAGATCGCCACGCGGATCGCAGATTACCGTCGCCGTGTCATGATGTAGGTATAGATAGATCGCCACATCGCCACGCGGATCGTAGATTACCGTCGCCGTGTCACAATGATGTAGGTGTACATAGGTCGCCATCGCCACAGCGTAGATTAGATGGTAATACGGATAGAGGTAGGTCGCTCACCCCGCGAGGGAAAGATAGGGGTATAGAACGATTAGCGGAAGCCTTAGACCAGCCGCCACGAAGCAGACACAGGAGTTGCCTATTTTCAGTGGCTCGGCCGCGGAATGGTTATCGCCGCGAAGCCGCGATGAGGGAGTCCACGCGTTTGTATGGATTCACAAATACGGAAAATATGGCAAAGTTAAGAAATGTTTACGTGGTGAGGCTCGAGAGGTAGTATCGGCGCTGCTATTTACCGCGAAGGATCCAGCAGACATTATGCGGACACTGGAGCAGTGTTTCGGCCGCCCAGAAGTGATTATTGATCGTGCATTAGATGACTTGATATGCCTTCCGCGCCCGGGTCAAACTGCCTAGGAGTTAAATTCGTTTGCTATTAAGTAGCAAATTATAGTATGTATTATGCAGAACGTCGACGGCAAAGGATATTTACAAAATCCGATGCTAACCAGGGAGGTCACGAGTAAGCTTAACCCTCACTTACGGTCGCGTTGGTGCAATTATGTGGAGCACTACGGAAGTGCGGACGGACCGGACATTGTCACACTATCCCGGTTTATGATGAGAGAGGCTGACTGTGCGTTTAGTCACGCCTATACGTCCGTAACGCCGACTAAGGAATCGCCCGTAAGACGAGAAGCACCGCCGTCGAAAAGAATAGTGTTGACACGCCGCGTAGAGGATAGGGCCCGCGACGTAAAGACGTTCACCGCCCACGAGGAAACCGAAGTGCCTCGTGTATGTGTTGTGGGGGTAAACACCCAATTGCTAAATGTAGGAAGCTGGCACAAGTGGGTCTGGACGACCGGTGGAAGTGGGTAAGGGAAGATGGGGTGTGCTTTAGGTGTTTAAGCAGCAAACACCGACGCCTACGTTGTAAGGCTAGGAAGTGCGGCGTCGACGGCTGCAACGCCCGCTACCACGCCCTCCTTCACGCCCGCAGGGCCCGCACGCCTGAAGCGTTGGTAAAACCGGATGAAACCGTGCTCGTATCGTCGAATGTTAATAGTAGTGCGTCTGTATTATTGAAAGTGTGCCCCATTACCGTGCGCGGACCACCTCACCACCACCATCAACTTCCTTACAAGTTGATACGTATGCACTACTAGACGAAGGCGTGACGCGTTTTAACGTTCATTATTGTGGCTACCTCTAGGAAAGATAGGCGAGTTGTGTTTTTTGACTTCTATCGAATAAAACCAAAGTGATCATGCTGTGTGTCATTGTTGGACCAACACAATCTTACTGAATGTAATTTAGTCCATACCGGAAGGTTCATGTGACTCGCTAGATAACTTTGTTACAGCCGCTTAGCTTGAGTATTAAAGCGAATATTATCCCAGGTAGTCTGAATAAGCCCCGAAATAGGACTTGCTGTATGTGTCACATTACCATACCATATCCTTAATCGACGACGACTTAGCTCGCGAGTTAGTAGCGGAAGGACCGACAAAGCCGCTCAATATTAGAGGCGTGAATAATAGTCAACGCGAGGCCAATAGAAGATTAGTAAATATAGGAATTCGTGGCAAGACGCGCAGTGAGATTTATAATGTAAACGCGCGAACAATAGCGGATTTAATAATAGGCTCGCAGTCTGTGAGTGGGGAGTGCTTACGGTTGAAGCACTTACGCGACTTACCGAGTGCGGTATGCAACGACGACGCGAAGCCGAGAATATTATTAGGAGCCGACAACTGGCATTTAATAGTCACCCGTAATATAAGGATGGGACGCCGGAGGCAGCCCATAGCTGCACGAACGTTACTAGGGTGGGCAATTCAAGGTACCGTGCCGCGGTTAACGTGTAGGGAAGACGGCGAGACCGTATTACACGTGTCAAGCACTAGCGGACGGCCAGATAAGGATATCCAGTCGCTCGCCGGTCTGGTTAGGAAGTGCTTCCTCGAATATCCGCATTCCTACCGGCGTTTCGTCGTCATTCCGTGTCTTCTGGCTTATTGTCTTACTCATGACGTCCCACGTTGCGGCTTCCGATTGTCTTCAAAAAGACGCACGTATTGGACGCCGTTCCCGCCGCAAGGGCGTTACCAGATGGTCGCAGTTTGGCACCGTTAGAGAGCAACCACCTGACCGCGTAAACGCGGTTAAGAAACAAGAAATTGTCTGCAAACAGACAATAGACGTATATGACGTAGACTTAATAAGAAACGGGGAAGAAATTAGTACCAACGATCTTCTCTCTTTGTCGACGAACTTCTTTCTTCCTCGAAGATCTTCTATAATGATCTTCTTTCTTCTATGATTATCTTCTTCTGTTATTACTTTCTTTTTTCTGTAATTACCTTCTTTCTTCTGGCTTCTTATCCGGCGGCGATGGACCAAGAATATTAGGGACTGTAGTGGACTGTATGAATTTCATGTATAAAACTGGTTGACTGACTAAATACTACGCTAGAGACTGCTTAAAGGAAAGATGGTACTGTAGACAATACTATATTCAAATATTTACAAATGCGGCACTAATAAACTATATACAGAGAGGGGAGTCTTCACTCTTCAATCTTCAATGGGGTATCTCTTGATTTCTCTTGATGCTTCTTCTCCTGCTGTTGTCTTCGAGTGCCGCTTCCGAAATGAACAGCTCACAGACCAAAACGCCCTTCTTATATCTCGCAAGAGAGCGTCTCAGTATGTGAGTAGCGTCGTGAGGCGATGCCGCGCGCTGATTGGTCGGCGATATCGCGTGATCTGCTGCCGATGTGCGGGGTGCGCGGGGCGCAATGGGGTATGAAGGGGCGACGGGGCGGCGGCTCCCTTCGCAGTCCGTAACAATATATATTATTCAATTAATAATTACTATTAATGGTAATAATTTATTATATGCATTAACATCGTAACTTGTTTATAGCAAATATAGTAAATAAAAATATATCATTGTTTTAATTATCCCAAAAATTCCACTTGTAGAGTACTTGATTATTATTTTTAATGTCATCAACAAATTTATCGCATTTGTTGAATTGCTTGAGCAAAAATTACGCGAATACTTTAATTCCGAAATAATTATTGTTAACATCGTTGGTGATACCATGCAATGGATAAAAAAGGAAGAAGGCCGCCGATGAAATTCAAGCTGTAAAAATCGGCATCCAAGCTAATGGCTACTGTTTTCTGGGATAGTGAGGGAATTTTGCTTATCGACTACGTACCCAGGGGAAGTACGATGAATGGCCAATATTACGCCAATTTATTGACTCAGGTTCGCGAGAGCTATTGCACAGAAACGACGTGGGCAACTGATGCGCTGAGTGCTCGTTCACACCGCACATGTTGCGAGGCAAGCCCTGAAAGACACGGGGTTTTCAGAGATTGACTACCCTCCGTATAGCCAAGACCTAGCAATTTTGTCTTGTTTTCCAATTTGTAAAAGGACTTACGGGGCCGGATATTTTCAGATGACAACGAAATGAAAGCTGCGGTTGATATTAATTTTGAAGAGAAAGATAGAGAATATTTTTGGGTGGGTTAAAGACTTTGTATGCGAGATGTGAGAAATGTATTACATTTGACGGAGAATATATTGAAAAATAAAAATAGACCCCATATATTTTCTTTTATTAAGTACTTTAAGCCGCGGACTTATCAGGCGCCCCTCGTATATTCTAACGTGTGCAAGCTTGTAGTCTTGTGAGTGCTTTCTATTATCTCATCTAAGAAAGACACTTCATATTACAATTAAAATTTACCTTTTAACAAAAGGGCACGACAAATTATGCAAAAACAAATAATATGAAAATAAAATATTTAGAGTAAAGTAGTTTGTAAAAAAATATTTTATCTTAGGTACACAATAAAAAGCCGATAAACGTTTTGTCTACTTTCATCTTCCTGTGTCAACCCTACCAAAATAGGTAAGAGTTTTGAACGTTCCTTAGCTTTGCCTCTGGTCGGTTTCTTTACTTATATGCTTGCGCCCAGTAGTAAATAAATACAAACTATAACTTTAGCTATAATATAAATTTGAATATGTCAATACTAATACAAGATTATATGAGTAGTAGCTTTATATAAGTATCAATATAAGCGTAAATCGAAATTGCAGCCCCAAGAAAGTCATTGCGGAGGGTAGGTGTACGGTCAACATAAAAATGTCGTTGTATTTATACTTACTAAAAATGCTGCAGCAGGTTACGCTGGATTCGGAGTTCTGTGAATAATTAAAATTTTCGTTTTAAAATTTTAAGACAATTTATTCATCGTTATTTTATTCATGATAGCAATAATGATAAAAATTATAAAAGCTTTTTGCATGCCTTAAACGCAAAGCGCGTAGGTATATTTTTTATAGGACCGCCACTACATGGTATACTACTATTAAATTTTTTGAATATCTGTAAATCTATTGAAATGTTTTTTTTTTATAGAAGAGGGGGCAAACGAGCATGCGGCTCACCTGATGGTGACTACCGCCACCCATGAACAACTGCAACACCAGGGAGGGGAGGAGCACATGCGTTGCCGGCCTTTTAAAAAGGAGTACGCTCTTTTCTTGAAGGTCCTTAAGTCGTATCGGTCCGGAAAAATCGCTGATGGTAATCGATTCCACAAGGAAGCCGTGCGAGGAAGAAAACATCTTCTAAATCGCACAGTAGTGGACCGCCAATCATCCAGATGGTGTGGATGGTATCGGGAGCTCTGCCGCGATGTGCGTTCGTGAAATTTGGTGGCTGGGATTAATCCACTCGATATGTCGACTCCGAGGATTCCGATACTGGCTGAGGCAAGAAGTGCCTTGAAACTGAGGAGATACGACAAACGGATTCTTTTTAGCGGTAAACGCGCAAACTTGTGTCTTCTGAGGATTAAACTGGACTAGATTTAGTCACCCCCAATCCAAGACTTAGTTCAGCAAAGACTCGACTTCAGACACAAGTTTTTTCCGGTACTCGGCGACGTTTTCCCGAGAAATATTGGCACGGCCATTCAACTAGCGCCTCTAAAAATTAAGATTCCAATGTTTTGTCGCCAAAAATCGTATCTAACAATCACATTGAACATATAAATGATATAAAAAGCACATTCTTAGAAAGATAAATGATTGTTGAACCTATTAATATTATTTTTGAATCTATTAATTACTATCTTTACATAAAAATAGGCTTATGGTGTAGATTTATCAAGTCCGCATGGAGTGATAAACACGATAAGTTTTGAAAATACCAATTGTTTAACTCTATCTATTTTTTAATCTCTTCATCTATGATGCGGGAAGCCATGGAATGTAAATGGCAGTTTAATTTTCCTTTGTTTAGTTATAATTAATTTTTTTCGACGTAGAAATTAGGAAATATTCGGTGTTTTAGCAGCCTTGTAATAATTTATTTTACTAAATAGACTACCTCACTCACTCACTTGAGCGCCATTGTGAGTGGATACTGTATCGGTTGTTCGCAGCGGCTCAAAAAGATCGCTGTACAAATACAAAATATTCGAAAAACCAAATTTCATACGTACTTGATTTTATAATAATCAGAGATTTTTATTACAACATTTTAAAAACACAGAATAAATAATAGTACTACATACTTAAAGTAAGTAGGATGTATATATTTAAGTGTATTTATACATAAATACGTCTTGGACTTTATGGAGTGACCTGAATGACGATATGATGATCATATAAGCATTATGAGTCGTGCACTTTCGGATTTTCCAAACTTTTTTAAATTGAAGTTTAACATAAAATTATTGGAAAATTGGAAGTATAATAATAAAGTTAATAGTGAAAACGTGTGTGTATTTAAACTACTTAAAAAAAATTACGTATAATCATGTTATACGTAATTTTAAAAAAAAACTACGTATGCACAATTGGATTTGCGAATAGTTTTTTTTTTTATAGTTGTTGCCATTATTGCTATCTTTAATCTGTAAATATTTCATTGGCTGATGGCTTCTTTTCTCACAACTAAGACAGTATTGTTTTCAACTGACCTTGGCGGAGCCCAAAAATAGCATATTATGACTGGTATATAATATGTATATATGCTTTCTTCTCTGTCTGCGATTCCGCCAGTAACTCTTACTAAACTAAGTTTGTTTTACTGGCTATTGGATTTCGCTAAATAATATTTCAATCAATTTGTTATTATGACACGGACATAAAATAAATATGGTGGGCATATACCGGACATATACTGCAAAAAATATGCAAACGAATTGTGCACGGTATAACATTACAAAATTTTTCCATAGCTTGTAATACGTTCTACGCAGTTGATGTCTCCCATCAGTGTCTATATATATATATATATATATATATATATATATATATGTATCAGTGTGTAAATATACACTACCCTCTATCCTGTAGGGGTCCTAAAAGGCAACAGAGGGTAATTGAAATGGCAGATAGGCTGCAGTATCTTCCTGATAATAACCCTTTCCAAATTTCCAATTTTCCAATCCGCTTGCCAAGCGTGGCAACTATGGCAAATGTCCCACTTTGAAGCAATCTATTGGAAAGGCCTATGTTCAGCAGTGAACTTTAGAGAGATAGATATCCAAGGTGTAAAGTGGACTGAAAATTAGTGTGTACTGAGGCGGTTCATTTCGTGGTTATGTACCTCTACAAAGAAAGATTATTTGATATTCTATAGCCTAGTCATAAGACTAATTCAGTTGTTTTTTTTTTATTTCACTCATTGTTTTTTCTAATTTAAGTCTGTACTTTTGCTGTGCTTAAACCATGAACAAATGTATTTTCTTTCTTCCTTTCTTTCTATTATGTCGGCAAAATGGGTTACTTTTGGATTATATTTTATACACGGAAGAGTCTCCGAGTAAGTTTTGTTTTAAAAGTAAAGCGATAAACAAAGTCACCTGATGGTAAGTGAGTTTTGTGTCCCGTAAACTCCTGCATTTTTCCTACATTATCAAGCATCCAAATGCATCTGCGTTATCATCCCAGCCCTGAGGAGTAAAATGAAATAATTCGCTACTAGTGAAACGTGTCTTTACAGGCTTTACACGCCCCACTACTGGGTGCATGCCTCCGGTAAATTATGACTGGTTAAATACGCCGTGCTGCTTTAGATTGTGTTGACGAAATTTTAGTAAAATCTTACAATGAACATAAAAAAATACAAAATGTTTTTCGGTAATAACAAGCAAGGTCGGTGTCCAATCAGAGGTAATGATTTAAAAAGGTTAAATAACTTTTACCTTTTTATTTATTAAGTATGATAAATTTTTTTTTTCTATTAGCAACATTTTTTGGAAACACTTGTGACGTAAGTTGAAACTTAATCTCATTTTATAAGGCCCAAACGGCGTAGAAGTTTCTCGTTCAATTTATGGTATTAACCCTTCGGGACACTCATTACGTACATTGACTTAAATTACCTTAGGACATTTTGTAGGGTTAAATGCCTTCATAGAACTTCTTTATTAGAAATAAGTTGTAAAATAAAAAGTTGCATAAGTATACTGGGTAACACTTTGTATTTTATGAAACATTTCTTACTATTAGTATAATTTTTTAAATAAAACACTGTAGCGTTATATTTTTTACTTAAATGCGGTGGCGCCTTTGAAGACTGTTGTTTTAGCAGGTACGTATGCTTGTTCATTTCTATATCTGCAGCTAGACTTCGGAATTTGATAAATGACATCTCAGTATCCCTTTGCAAATTCTTCAAATTTGTCTTAATTACGCGGGTCACAGAAAGTATAATGACGAAGATGCACAGTCGAAAATGTTTGATCTAAAAATAATGTTAAGCAAATGTGTCGTGACTGGAGTCACATGAAAAGTAATAAGTTGATAATTCCAAATGTTTTTTAAAAAAACAGTATGTGTCGTGAAGACAAACGATAGAAGTGAAACATCTGAGGCGGGTAAAACACACGATAGAAGTGAAACTTTTGTATTACAGGGAAGCATTTAATTTAAAGAAAAAAGATTAAAATTATATTTTTGGGCTTATGCCTTCTAGCATCTACTCTACGTATCACCTTGAGAGTCAATCAATTTTTGTTCGATAAAATTACTTAACCTATAGAATGTAGTAGATGGCGCTACTACTCAAATGCGATCACTCTTTCTAAAATAAATACCTGTACCTTGAACGGAACTCAGTTGTAATCTTGTAATTGTTATTGTATTACTATATACCTTCCGGTATGTAATGGCCTGCGTTCGCGATTTTAATGATTGATCCACCTGAATGACCCGGTACGTAGTGTTTACCCCCACCACTTTTCGTCACACAAAGATGTTGCAGATCGGAATTTCAAAGCCTAAAGGATTTCACTTCAAAACACCACGAACACGGCTGCAGTGATCTTACTAATATATGATATGTTACATAT